ACCCTAACCCTAATCCCATCCCCCTCTCCTCTTATACGCCTGCTGGCCCTTCCTCTCAAAACACCTTTGACGATGATGATCCCGACGCCGAGTATGAGGACGAGGAGGCTGAGGACGAGGGCGGCGATTCAAAGCAGCCGCCTTTCAAGTTTCACCGGATCTGGCCAGAATCCGACGAGATCCGCTTCTTGCAGGGTCTTCTTGGCTGCTGGTCTCAAGGCTTGGTCTTCCCCCGGGATCTCAACATCTTCTACGATCGTTTTTCGGAGTCTATGTCGCAGCCCTACACCCGCTCACAGCTATCCGAGAAGCTGAGACGGCTAAGGAAGAAGTACAGGACTATGGCCGGGCGTATCGCGCGTGGGCAGGATCCGTCCCGACTCTCCCAGCACGATCGAGACCTATTACATCTTTCTACCCGTCTTTGGGATCCTTCCAATGCTTCCACGTCCCCATTCTCCGCCCCCGATGCTGTCGCAGCGGGAAGCGCTGGCAATAAGCGCCGCCGGCCTAACCCTAGGGCCCCGACTAGCAGGGCCCGAGCCTCATCTTCACCTCATCAGGTTATCGTTGCTTTGGAAAGCGCTCTTTTGCCACCTCCAAATCCTCCCCTAGCCCTTCCTTCTACTTCTCCTGTTGCCTACAAAAAAGAATGCATGGATCCTCTTCCTTCTATTGGACACAATGGATCCATAGATGGTGCTAATTTTGCTGCATCTCCAGAGGAAATCCCCAAGAACAAGCTACCTACTCCCCCAATAAGTAGTTCTGTGGACCCTAAGAGGTCGGGAGCTAAGCATCTAGCCATCAAGTCAGTATTGGATGTGCTTGATGTGGCGTTAAATGAGGTGCGTTCTACGCTTGCTAACCAAGGGATTATTTCATCCAATGGTACTTCGGAACAAGGGTTGGAGATGAAGGGCATGTCAAAAAGATGGCAAGCGCATCGGCTTGCAGAGCTGGATTTATTAGCCCAGAGGTGGAGGTTGGTTGTTGAAGAGAAAGCAACGCAGATATGATATTGCAAGTTCTGTCCTTTACTCCGAGTTTGATTGAACTCCATCCCTTTTTAATTTCGTTTTTATACCTTTACTTCCTGTTATGTATATTTTTCGCTACTCGGTGTTTGTAATACCAGATCTACTTACTCTTATATGAACGCTTGGGATAGACTGGAATCTGTAGTAAATTATGCTGTTGTGCATCAAGCCTGACTTACATTATGTTTTGCTTCACTTTATGTTACTATATGTTTTCTTTTTTCTGACTTGTGAATCCAAGCATTTCTCAATT